CGACGACGACGACGACGACGACGACGACGACGACGACGACGACGACGTTTTCGACGGTGTTGGTAATATTGGAAGTGGCGGCGGGGGCGGCAGCGTCGTCGGTCGACGGATTTTCGGCGGTCGGCCTCTGGGTCTCTTTGTCTCGGCGATCGTTTTCGACGGACCAGCAGCAGCACCAGCAGCAGCATCAGGTGGTGACGGCAATCGCAATTTGCGCGGTCGGCCTCTGGGTCTTTTCACTGGGGCTGCTCCATCAGCAGCAGCAGCAGCAGCATCAGGTGGTGACGGCAATCGCAACTTGCGCGGTCGGCCTCTGGGTCTTTTCAGTGGGGCTGCTCTATCAGCAGCAGCAGCAGCAGCAGCAGCAGCAGCAGCATCGTCAACATGAGCGGTAGCTTCAGCTTGACGAACGTCGTTGTCACGCGCACGTCTATCGACCTTTGTATACGTCTTATTCTGGTATTTACCGCGCGAACATTCAGCTTTCTTCCATCATCGGGGAAATAACGGTAATCTCCAATTTTTACCACGTTCCATACCGCAAAGTGACGGCATCGTGTATTCCAAAGGTATTCGGGAACAAGATAAAAATTATCGAATACATAGCGTCTGAACGTCGCCACGGTGTCAGCGACGTTCTCCTCCGGTATGTTGATCGCCATTCGTGCGATTCTGGCGATGGGAGCGGTCGGATCGAGCACGATGGCGTTTGCCACGCGGTCGGCCTGTACGGTCCCGATTACTCTAAGGTTGTGTCCCATCGGGAGACGTTTGTACAGTTCGAAAAAGGCCTCCAGGCTGAACGGTGATATTCCGCGACGCGCGTTTCGCATAATTGGCACAAGTGTATCGCACCTTGATGATTCTCGATACAACGGTACGCCCACGAGGCGTGGACAACCGTTAAAAAGTAGACGGGATCGTCCGTCTCCATGAGACGATGCACTTCCCACACGTGTCGGACGGCGTGCGCGAGAGCCGCCGGTACGTCCTTGGCGTATATGGCGAAGTGTCGCTGGTACGTGTCGGGAGCTACGTTGTGATACAGCGGGCTTCGCAGCTCTACGAATTCGTCGCGAATGGCCCGCATTTCGCTGCCTCCGACAAAGACGTTGCGACAAACGGTGTAGTTGTAATTTCGGTTGAAGCCGTGTACAAAGTACATAACTCGCAGATACGCCTCTACGGCCGTCGTAACGAAATTGTGCGGCATCGTGAGGTGTTCGCGTAATTGTCGGCGGTAGAGTTCGTTCGCTCCTCGTAGCAACCTTACGTCTCGTTGGACATTGGCATCGATGTACTTGTCCAATTCGTCGATTCGGTACAGCAATTGGTGTCCCACTATTTTCGTCACCAATCTGGTTTTGCGGTTTTTGTCGAACACTCCTGACCCGTTAATTTCTCGGACGACGTCGTGCCTCCTCGCGTCGAAGGTGAAGACCTCTTCGAATCGCGTCGCGTATCCGTGCCGAACGTATTCGTCGAAGAAAAAGTCGACGTCGCGCAGATGTTGCTTAATGTTCAGTCGCGTGTCCAGTAATTTGCGGTCGCCCTCGTATCCTTGACAGATCAGATACGTCGCCAAAGAGCCGAAATTTACGGGCAGAGCCATCTTGGCCGCCGAATTGTATACCTGGCAATAAGTGACGAGGTGCTTGGACCACGTGCGGGACGCGTGGCACGTAAAGTTACCGTACTGGCTCATAAATCCTACGCGGTATCTCCTGATTCTTGCGCCGTCGCCGAGAATAATGGCGTTGTCGAAGAGGCTCCACAATCGCGTCGGTAGCGTCCTGTCGGTCGCCTCGGCTCTCGTCCCGTCGAGACGCACGACGTACGGTCTGCCCTCATCGTCCGTCAGAGTGTTCGCTCTGTGCAATTGGACGACGTCCATGTGCGGATGATCCACGTAAGCGACGTCGCGCAGGCTCAAGCCGCGTGTTCGCACGGCAGTCTGAGGCCGTGCATGCATTGATAGAATCGCACGACGTGGATGCCGTGCGTGTTCAATAAGTCGAGACTCGACAGTTGTTGCGTAACGAGGCGCGCGTATCGACCGAAGTCCTGCTGAGCGACGTTGAATTTTCGCGCGACCTCGTATTCCGTTGCGGTTATTCCGGTTCGCGCGGTCACCGTGCTCGTCGGTAGATTCTTTGCCGCCGCTATGATTACGTCGCGAATGAACGACGACGTGGCTCGACGAAGGGGTCTGTCCCTCTCGCGACCGGACGAACGTCGGAAAGCTGGTTGTTCCGAGTCGCTGTCGGACACCGCCGCCGTAGCCTCTATCTCCGCTTGCGTCGCTGTCGAATCGCCCTCCGTTTGGAACAACATGTACAACAATCGTTGGTCGACAGTCGCGAGTTTGCACTCGTACCATATTCGTTTCGCGCTCGCTTCGTCCGGTCGAGCGACGAACGTCGCCGAACGGAGCGGTTGGAATTTCTCTCTATTGTTGAGGTACGTAGTTAACTTGACGTTGGCGCAACGATGAATCGCCGGTGGTCTTGTTTCGACCGTCATCACCGTTTTACATACGAATGGCTCCAACGTGGTCGCCGCGACCAAAATGGAGTCCACGTCCGACTCGATCAAGACGCCGCTCATGTCTCTCAAGTCGAGTTCGACGGAAATGGGATTGAAGATTCGTAGTTCGTCGGTGGGTAGGTACGTAGAGGCGCTGCTGGCGCTGCTGCTGCTGCTCCTCCTGGCGCTGCTGCTGCTGCTGCTGCTGCTGCTCCAGCTGCTGCTGCTCCAGCTGCTGCTCCTGGCGCTGCTCCTCCCTCCGCTGGTGGACGGCGTCGGCGTCGGTATTGGTGGCGGCGGCGTGAGGGATGGCGACGGCGTCGTCGTCGGTGGTGGCGGCGTCGGCGTCGGTGTTGGAGGAGACGGCGGCGTCGTCGTCGGTGGTGGTGGCGTCGGCGTCGGTGTTGGAGGCGGCGACGGCGTTGGTGTTGGAGGAGGCGGCGGCGTCGTCGTCGGTGGTGGTGGCGTCGGCGTCGGTGTTGGAGGCGGCGACGGCGTTGGTGGTGGAGGCGGCGGCGGCGGCGTTGGTGGTGGAAGCGGCGTCGGCGTCGGTGTTGGCGGCGTCGTCGGTGGTGGCGGCGTCGTCGTCGTCGTCGTCGCTGGTGGCGGCGGCGTCGTCGTCGTCGGTGACGGTACATTTGTTGCCGTTGTTCTTCTCGTAGCTGCCGCTGCTACAATTTGCGATCGTTTTAAAGTCCATGTAAACGGTGGTTGTCGCGGACCAGCCGGGACGACTGTCTCTTGCCAGATAATTCGCGGTAATTGACGCGGTGTCGGTGGTGTTGTTAGTGGTGGCGTCGTCGGCGGTGGTGGCAGCGGCGGTGGCGGCGGTGGCGGCGGCGGCGGCGTCGGTGGTGGTAGTGGTGGTGGTGAGGTCAGTTTATAGTCCTGGCGACTAAAGTTAGGGTTCATGAAAATAACGGTGTCCCTGGACCCTCCGCGGCTCGCCGACCCGGGCGTGCCCTCACCGGTCGCGCGCGCGACCCACTCATCGTTCACTACGACGAGGAGTCCCGCGCGAGCCGGGTCCCGAGTTCTCCCGGGAGGGTCGGCTATGCCATTGTCCCAGGAATGGTTTATCTGGGTCGGGCTCCTTGGTATGCCCCCTACACATCCGCGGGCAAGGCCCATCGAGGAGCCACCGCACCGCGGGTTTTCGGGGGTCCCCTGCCTCCGACAACAGGGGCACCGCGGAGGGCGCCGCCACGCGCGCGGGACACGGAGACTCCCCTGACGTTCGGGAGGGAAGGAGGCCGCAACCCCTCCAACGCTCCCTCCCGCCAGGGGAGCCGGCCTAGGAGTCTCTCGGGTCGCCGGCCGAGGTAACCTCCGGCACCGGCGACCCCCGCCTTCGTTCGACTCATCGCGGACAGTTTAGGATAGACGGAGGTGTCCCACCGTACCCCTCCCGCGCGCAAAGCTGCACGGGGGATATCCGGCCGAGCAGCGCTCGATTCCGGGTCGTTCCTAAAGGAAGATCCGGTCGAGCAGCGCTCGATCCCAGTCCCCCGCCGCCGCCCGCGAGAGGGCAGAGCACAGGCGCTCCATCAGTGGATGCGGTCTCTGTCCGATGAGCCCTCCCCGCCGGCCTTAACCAGGAAACGTCCTGGCAGCCCGACGGGTCCTCCCTCCCTCCCTCTCGCCCTTCACAAGGGGTTGCCCGACCCAGACCTCGGATCAGTTCCGAGCGGCCCGGACAACTTCTCGTTGGGGGTAGAGGTGGTGGTAGTGGTGGTGTGCTCTTGGACCCTGCGCAGGTTCTCTCAGTCGTCGATCATCATCAGTCGGGCCCTCTCGGTGGTTGGACCACCGATACCGTTGCGGCGGATGAGATGGACGAAGAGAGAACGTACGCAGGGTGGCTCTCTCACCGCGCCAAGGTGGCACACCGTCGAGGGAGTGGAAGGTGGGAGTGGATAGGACGCAAGGTAAGTATGGAGAGAAGGTAGGTAGGTAGGTAGGTAGATAGGTAGGTACGTACGTACGCTTAGTTAATCGTAACTTTGTTTCTATGTTTCAGGTCAGGCCTCGTTTCTCGAAGGGATCATCGTCATCGTCATCGTCATCATTATAGTGGATCAACGCTGGACAACGCGAGGGGGAATGGGGGGTTTGGGGAGGGAAATGGACACAAGGTAAGTGGAAAAGGTACCCATGTGCGAATGTCGGACTTCTGCCAGAGTTGTCCGTATGGCCCAGAAGTGGTACAATATTGGCTGCCAAAACTTGATGGGTGGTACTGCCCCAGTACGGATAAACCGCTAGATCAGTATTGTGCCAGTCTCGGTGACCAGTACTCCCATGCAACCATATTCTGTTCTGAGGCGAGTATCGTCTCAGTACTGACCGTGTATAAGGCCGAAAATGATATTGATCTACGGCCGAAAGTCGGCTCAGTACTGGGGATGTATTGGGTCGACTTAGAAAATTTTCGCTCGGGACCGAAGGTAACATAACCGCGCGAAAGCAACACGCCGCGAGGGGACTTAGAAAGCTTTTTGCTCGAGCATCGCCGGAGGTAACGACCGCGGCGCGGAAGCAACACGCCGCGAGGGGACTTTTCGCTAGAGCCCACGCCGGAGGTAACGACCGCGTTCGTGCCTCTCGGTTACAAGTACCCCCAATTATAGTGTCATTCGTCTCGCTTCGCGTCTCGCCTCCGGCGCCCGTAAGCGACCGTGCGTAAGACCGTGCGTCGCCGATCGCTCGGCCGGCCGGTTGGGTACTATAAGAGGTTCGGTGCGCTTGGCGAGCCGAGCGACACGAGCGATACGTACAGACGTGCAAACGCGTTTTGCTTGGTTCGTAAGAATGTGTAAAACGTTTGTGGAATACGTACACGAAAGGGGCGTCAAAATCGATGCGGGGAGCATCGTTTCCCAACCATATTTTGTTTCGAGGCGAGTCTCGTCTCAGTACTGACCATGTATAAGGCCAGAAATGATATTTATCTACGGTCGAAAGTCGGCTCAGTACTGGGGATGTATTGGGTCGACTTAGAAAATTTTCGCTCGGGACCGGAGGTAACAACCGCGCGAAAGCAACACGCCGCGAGGGGATTTAGAAAGCTTTTTGCTCGAGCGGCGCCGGAGGTAACGACCGCAGCACGAAGCAACACGCCGCGAGTAATATGGCAATCAGTGTTGTCCCCGTACTAGTACTCTGTGTCGGGCCAAAGTTGGCGCCAAGAGTTAGCCCAATACTGGCAATCAGTGTTGTCCCCGTACTAGTACTCTGTATCGGGCCAAAGTTGGCGCCAAGAGTTAGCCCAATACTGGCAATCAGTGTTGTCCCCGTACTAGTACTCTGTGTCGGGCCAAAGTTGGCGCCAAGACTGGGACCCGTGTTATCATTCCGACATTGCCCCAGTAATGACCCCGATCTTAGCTTGTACTGGTCCAGAATCGTCAGCCAGTACTGGTAATTCTGGCACCAGTACCAAGCCAGCACCGAGCCTTTTTGAAATTCGCACATGGGACCTTATTTGATGTTCCTGCATCTGTATCATAAATTTTCCTTTACAATTCAGTATATTCTCGTTCTAAATGTCTTTTCAGTCCGGTCGCGTATTTCCATTCGTCATTTTTATAATTTTTATGCTTTCAGTGCATAATTTACACGTAGCGAATTTCTTATTATTTTCATCAACATTAATCATAAATGCTTCAGCTCGCAAAGATTTTGCTTTATGTTTTCCCATTTCTTCATCGTTATGTATTCGTTTCATACTTTGACCAGACATTATAAGTTGACTTTATGACTGAACGATCGAGAATCTCGTATATCAAGAAACCAAGGAAACGAGATCGAGACGAGATTTTCGCTCGTCTATCAAATCAAGAACATTAAAAAATCTTGCTATATTCATACTATCAAGCTTCGATATTAGATCAAAATTCAAGCGTATGAGAAGAGTCTCGATATCGTCGTTTTCTTGTTTTGTCTCGCTTGCCGAATCACTATTTCAAATCGAGTTATCATTGTCACCTTGGCTCTTATACGTATAACACGTATTATTATTGTCGACTCGGATCCTCTATCATCAGTTGGGCACAATGTATATCACAGTAAAAGTATTGTTGATAGTTGCTATCGTTATGGATTAAATTCCATTAACATCAGGTAAGTATAATAAATGACTACATTGCAATTAATATAAGTACTAATGGGCTGCGTTCCACTTATCGCTCACAACGCTCGCGAGCATCATTTCGTCCTTGTTTAACATTTAACAAACAACAAGGATGAAATGATTCTACGAGCGTTGCGAGCGATAAGTGGAACGGACTCCATGTTTTTATATTTACTAATTAGAAATTGTTTTATTGTTTATTGTTTTAGATGATGTCAGACCTAATGTCGTCACATCTGATGGAACTTTATTATTATTATCAATAACCATCATTTTAATTATTGTATTATACTACACATCAGGTAAATTAATATTTTTATAAAAATTGGCCTTTTTCTTTTTAATTTTAATATATTATAATTAATATATGTTTGCACACAGGTATTCCGGAACTGATATTTACGTTTTCTGAAATGTACACCTGGAATATATAACACTGGAATATATAACCATATATTCCAGGACTGTACATATATTGATACATTTCAAAAAAACGTAAACAGTTCCGGAATTAGAGTCGCCAATACGCGTGAGTTCACTTAAACTTTATATATACCTCTGAGCAAACATATATATACACACATATACATTACTATAAAATTTTCTTGTTAAATTTTAGACAGTATTTGACCGATGAGGAAGAGATCGAGGAAGTCGAGCCGCAACCCAGCAACGCTTCAGACACAACCATCCTTAGCACGACTCCAGAAGCGTTGGATAACTTCGATGAAGTACTACAAACTTATAAAAATATCGGTAATTTAAGTGCAAGAAAATCGTGACGACTTATTGTATTTTGATATAAGTAATATTTTGATATAATCCATATGACGCAGCTAATCATCTACTGTATCAGTGTTTAAAAAATTTAAACTTGCAACACTTAAGACTTTTATAGAACTGGAGTTAAAAAAAAGAACGAAAGATATTACTTAAGACAGTCTTAAAATAAGAACCGACTATGAATACTGGCCTTAAAATAATTATTCACGATCGGGTTATTTTTTAAGATACATATTTTATTTATTTACACATCCTGAAGTCGGTGAATATTTCTGTTAATCGATAATCTCTTATTTTTCAGGATATAGGTAATAAAGGAGGTTTTGTTCATAATTCGATCTCGATACAATATCTGCGCATCATCCCTTATTTTAAGGATAAAACTGTAAATGTGTAGAATTTTCCTACGTAAATAACATTTCAAAAGAATTACATTAAGAAAAAAATATACATATTCTAATCTATTAATGTAAATAAATGTTTATTTTAATGTTTTTCTTAAAATAAAGATAATTTTAAATGTATATTTTCTTAAGTTTAAATATATTTTCTTTCATTATAAAATAATTACTTTTCAGCTTTGCATTGTCTTAATTTTTGTCATAAAACCTTAATCTTTTATCATAAAAGTAGTGTGGGAAGTTGATTCAAGCTGTTCTGCCACTAATTAGAACAAGAGATAATGGATAAGAAGTAAGGAGGGTAAGGGTGCGGTCACATGGACTGATATTTTCCGCGTAACGCGTATCGCGTAACCAATCAAAAGTGCGAATATGCGTAACCGAAAATGCGAAACGCTCTCTTCTAATTGGTTACGCGGTTACGCGTTACGCGGAAAATACATGCCATGTGACTTCAGCCTAAGTGCGCGAGTAACAGACGGCATTCAGATTACGATCGTAGTATTTAAAATGACGTGGAACTAAGAAAATATATATACTTAAAATTATTTTGAACGTTTACAAGTTTTTATTTACAGCAAGATATGGAACAAATATATGTCATTTTTTCATATTTTGAATAAACATTTGTATATGTTTATATAAATAGTTGAATGTATTGACTTTCTCTAATTTAACTTATATTAATTTCGAGTGTTATATTAATTACTATAACTTAATATTGTGTACAGTACAATATTTTATACAATTCTTTTTATGCCGTGGAAGCAGTTCGATTAACACACAATAAAGAATCAATGTAATTTTCTATTTCATGAAGATATCTTTTTTGAAAACGTATTCCAAATATTAGAGATTTAATTCTCAATGCTATTACACTGAAAGGCAAATGCTTTGTATTTATTGCGTGGTAGCAATTAAGATTTTTTTTAATTGTCTGATCACCATTGCTGTTCTGGGCACGTAAAGCGAGTTTTGTTGATAGAAAGATATCTTTTGGAACTCGATCGTAGAACTTTCCATGTCAGTTTCCGAAGATTTGTCTTTCTCACATTTATCTAATTTATATAATATATTTCAGGTTTATTTGTGGACGCACCTTTTGTAAAAATGCATCAGAAAGATTAACAATATAGAATAACAGATGTTAAAGGTATAAATAAAAAATATATGTTAAAAGACATGCCTGGTAAGTATACTGTATAAGTGTATACGTATATTATGTATATGTATATACTGTGCATTCGATAGTAGAATTAGAGAAGGGTCGAGGGTAAAAGACAATATCACCCACAAGCTCCCAGCCAGCGACCTCTACAGTAATGAAACTTACGCTGCATGAAAAAAATCTGCTTAATATTTGCTCCTTCATAATATGCTATTTCTATAATTTGGTCCATTTTACTTTTTTTAATAAATAAAAGATAAAGTTAATAACAATGTAAACGTTAATATAAGCGAAAATCATTAGAATTTGTAGATTCTAAAGATACAGAAAAATTGCTCCCTCTTTGTTTGAATTCGCTCCACCCTTAAAAACTAATTATCTACAGTATTTATTAAGAAAAACGTAAATAATTCCATTAGGCATTTTGCGGGATATCAAGAAATTGTGCGCATGCGTAAAAGTATTTAGCGACTGCGCAACAGAAGTCGAGAGCGCCATTTTTTAAATTTTCATTTTTCTTTAATTTGCTTTATGCATTTTGCGGGATATCAATCATTAGAATTTGTACATTCTCAAGGCACAGATAATTTGCTCCATTGTTTCAATTTGCTCCACCTTTAAAAAAAAAAAGCAATATTAAAGGAATATTAAAGCAATATTAAATAAAGAAAATATAATTTGTGCTATAAATTAACTTACATACCTTTGTTTATTGTAAAATATTTGATGTCATACGCCAAAAATCTTTGTCGGTACTGAATGTTCAGTCTAGAAAATCAATTTTATTACCTATTATTTTAAAAACTTCTGCTTTGTTATAATGTGTGTAATTCATTCGGCTTCGTATCCATGATCCAATTAAAGTTAAATATAATTGATTTAAGAAAACTTGGCATATTTGAAATAATTGATTTCGTTAATTCTTTTGAGATTATTAAACCAATTAAATCTATGCAAAAATCAATGAAAATTATTATGATAGAAAAGGATATGTCATCAAACTAAAATTACAATTTGTTAAAGAATTTGAAGAATCAAATAATTTTAAAAAACATTTTATGACATACATGGATAAAGTTTTAAAACATCATCTATTATCATTAATCCAACGTTAATGACAACACATATTATCATTAATCTAAAAATATCTTATTAAATTGCAAAATTAATTCTCTTTATTTTCATGTTATTCTACCTTTAGTACAGTCGTTGCAGACATATATTTTTTATTTAGTAAAACTCATTAAAATATATATTCTTTACATTTATATAAATCTACGAACTTTAAACTTTTTCACACATTTATAATATACATCTTTAATCTGTACAAGATAGAAAATTATAACATAAATTAAGAAAACAAAATTGTAGCGTTCGTGAGAGATAAATTTGACAGACTAATCTGGAATGTCTCGGCCGTTTTGAAAAAGCTAAAAACAGTCACTGTTGCTTGATTCTGTATCGGAGGTATTCTCTCCAAGAACATTCTCTGAAAAATTAAGGAAAAAAAAACATTGTTATATCTATCACAGAGAAAGAATGAATTAATAATTAAATAATATGTTGGATGCAGTCAATTTGTCACTGCATGGTTTGTTATTACCTAATATTTCAAGATTGGGAGACTTTCTTTGAAAGTATTCTTCAGCATATATATTTCTTCCGGCACAAAACCTGTAATTCAGACATTACCTTATTACATGTATGCTATACTACATACGCATATACACACAAAAATATACATACTGCGCCGATAATTCTAGGTCGTTAATAATATCAGACAGAGCCAAAATCTGTTGTTTGTTTATCTAGATCTTGCAGCCAGCGAGCCTCAATACACAATAAAGAATCAAAATGCTATTACACTGAAAGGCAAATGCTTCGTATTTGCTGCGTGGTAGCAATTAAGATTTTTAATTGTCTGATCACCATTGTTGTTCTGGGCACGTAAAGCGAATTTTGTTGATAGAAAGATAATCTTTCTCGGAAC